TTTCTTTATATTTCTTTAGTTGTGGGTGACTACCAGTGGGTACTTTAAAAACATTTTGTATGTACAGTTATTTGGAAATTTTGTTTTTGTTTTCTGCTTTAGAAAGCTTTATGTTAATATGGGCTGACACAATGGCTGAAGTGGCTAATCCTCTGCCTGCAAGTGCTGGCATCTTACATGGGCATTTGTTCATGTCCCAGCTGCCCCACTTCTGATCCAGCTTGCTGCTTATGGCCTGGGAAAGCAACAGAGGATGGCCCAAAGCCTTGAGATCCTGTATCTGTATGAGAGACGCAGAAGAGGCTCCTGGCTCCTGGCTTTGGACAGACTCAGTTCCAGCCACTGTGGCCATTTGGGAAGTGAGCCAACAGATAGAAGATCTTTCTGTATCTCTCCTCTCTGTAAATCTGCTTTTCCAATAAAAATAAATAAATCTTCAAAAAAAAGGTCTCACATTTATGAGTATATGTGTTTACTCTCTGCTTTCTTATCAGTATTTTTATTTGCGTTTGTGTTTTGTTCATTTATTCAGCAAATATTTGATGGTCAACTGTATGCTCTAGTTGGTAGGAGAAATTTCCCAGTGAATTGAAGGAGCCGCTGCTGAAAAGCTGATGTTTGAATTGATATCTGAAGAGTGAATAGGAATTAATTAGATTTAAGAGATGAGAGAATAGCATTTTAGGTGGTAGAAGTAGCATTTATTTATATATTTGAACGAGGGAAGCATGGCAAGTACTAGGTAGTGGAAAAGACTGGTTGGGGTGGGAATGTGGATGGAGGACAGGAGAAAGTGAGAGGAAGCTGGAGAAGGGCCATCATGTGAACCATATGAAGCAATTGTTCTGATCCCTCTGTCCCACCCTGAACAATAGAAGGCCACTGAAACACTTAGTACAGGAATGATAGGATATTGTAGAATTTGGAAAGTCAGTTGGAGGGATGCCAGCATGTATGTGAAGGGACGGAAGAGGAGCTTGTGTTCTGTGAGCCTGACGGTGACTTGGAAATCAGGGCATGGTAGCAAAATCTAAGTGACGACCTAAGAATATTGAGGAGGTATAATCCATGGCACTTGGTGGACTGATGAGATGATAGAAGCGTCTTCAATATCCTTGGCCTGGGTATTGGTGTCAGTAACCAGTCAAAGCAGGTTTAAGGAGGCATCCTACACCCTTATCAAAAAGAGGCTTAGGGAATGCCAACATTTGGTGCTTTGGGAAATGAGGCTAAGCCCAGAAAAGGACACCAGCCTGGCCAAGTGAGGGGTGGGTGGGAAGGCAGGAGTGTAAGGTATGCTGACTAGCCAGTGGGAAGGGCATTGGAACAGTGAATGTTGTGATGAAATCTAGTCAGTTGGATCAGGGCTGGAAATGTCAGTTGCATTCAGTGACTGGAAGGAACTTGATTTGGTATAATGGCCAGTCAGCATGGCTAGCTGACAAGGGAAGAGAAGGACAGGTGGATTGTTAAATGGGAATGGGTTACATGAAGATTTTTTTAATGGTGACATGTGTGACACTTGAGTGTCTTTAAAATTTGCACTCCAAAAGGAAGGAGAAAAGAGGAATATAGTGTAAGATTGCTGCAAACACATGTAAATCATGAAAAGTTCCTTTGAAGTGTGATCTACAAAACTGTAGTAAAGGGGTTTCTTATTGGTGACAATGACAGAATCCCCTACAGCGGAAACGAGGGTGTGATGAGTTCTGGAAGAATTCCTTCAAGTAATGTATTGAAATGCTAGTTTTTCTGTAGTAGCCAATCTGTTTGTCACTCTGCCTCAGCTTTTCATTTTTAGCTGGAGATTTTAATTTTTTTTTTTTTGCAAATTTTTATGTTTTATTTTACCTCAGTACTTCAAATTGGACTTACCAGAAATTCTCACTAGTTCACTATGGCTTATTTTAGTCATTGACCAAAAAAGAAGTACTAGAATGTATTTCTTTTCTTTCCTTTGCTTCTGCTTTCCCTAACCCCACCTGCACACAGCACTCCCTCCCGCCCCCATCACCTGTCATGGACGGTATAGAGTTATAGAGATGGAAGATGCAGGGCTATAGCAGAATTGGAATGTAAATCCTGCAAACTAGGCTTTGCCTTGTAATCCTGGGGAAAATGTTGTTTCTTTGCACCTTTGAAGTGAACTGAGAAAGGCTTTGTATGTTTTGGGTTCTGATTAACCAAGGTATCAAAATTGAATTTGTACATATAAATCTGTGTAGTCATTTTTTAAAGCAATGATCAGTGAGAAATTTCAGACTGTAAATAGGTAGTGGTTTACTTTTTTTTTTCTCTCTCAGATGTGCTATAATCTTGTTTATGTGCTTATTTCTGTTTACCATATCTTTGCCCAGTTAGATACCAGAGATACCTGCCTTGGGTTACAAAATGTTGCTTTTAAATTACTGTGTCACAAAGCTTGGCGAAGTGAGAACAGTTTGGTAGCCTGAATTACCCTGCACAAGGTCACAAGTAGTATTGCTTCTTCGTTGAGTTCCAGCTTTGCAATACATAGCCTAATGGCTCCTTCAGTAATGTCCGTTCCACAGGCCAACTGGATATTCGTCTTCATCTCTGAGGACCAGGTTCACTTGTGTAGGCGTCAGTGAGCGCTGTGGATCACCATGTTGGGATTTGGTGGTCGTAGTGAGAATTCGTTCCTCATCCTTCTGCAAATAACTCGGATGTCGCTTTGCCTGTGCTGTTAACTAGTGTGTTCTGTTTTTCTTTGCTGAGCTGCTTCCCTTGGGATTTATTCCCTGGGTTCCCTTCAGCTTTTTGATTTCTTGTCTACAAGTGCAGATCTACTCCAGATTTTCCTCCCAAAGCAGTTATCAGCATCCATAGTCCTCGGAATGCCCATTTGGTAATGATCTTTCGTTAAGTGTATCTTCCATAGCCTTACTGTCAGATGACCAGGTTTAAGACCTGTGTGATTATGAGGTCAGTTTTTGTAAGAACTGCCTGGGGCCGGCATTGTGACGTAATGCACCCTATGACACTGGCATCGCTGTTGGTGACCCAGCTCCCTCCTTATGAGCCTAGGGTAGCAGCGAGAGCTGGCCCAAGTGTGTGTGCCTGTGAAATCCACAAGGGAGACCAGAATGAAACTCTGGGCTGCTGCTTTGGCCTGGCCCAGCCCTGGCCAGTGTGGCCACCTGGGGAGTGAGCCAGTGGATGAAAGATCAGTTTCTGCCTTTCTCTTTCTATGTGACTCTTTCAAAACAAGCAAATGCATCATTTTTTTAAAGGAAGAAGATCATGGAAAGTGCGTATTATGAAAAAAATATATAAAGACAATAGCTGAACTTGAGTGAGTAACTTCTGACCCAACGATAACTTTTCAATTTAGGGCTTAATTTAGTTTCAAAAGATAAAATACTCACTGACTTCAGTGATCATATCACAGATTTTAATTCAATCCCATGGTTGCCATGGTATTACTGCTCTGTTTCAAAAAGTTTATATCAGCTGATAATAGCCAGTACTATTATCAGACCCAGCATAAACTCAAGAAATAAAGACTTCAGGCAAAAATTCTTAATTTCTCTCAGAGAGTTAACTTCAGCTTCTATTGGATAATAATTGAATCTCCTTGATAGGTATCATGAAATTAACTCCTGATACGATATTTACATAGGCAGCTGATGAATTTATGTAGCTTGTCATTGGTTGACTGACCAGGGCTCTTATAAATCACTCAAAATCCAAGAGGAAGATTTTTGAATCACCAACGTGCCAGTGTGAGTCCATTCTAGACCAGGGGCTTTTAACTTACTAGTACGGGGAAGGGATGAGATCAACTGAACCTTCAGACTTGTCACCAGGGCTGCTGCTAGACCCTTTGGATCTCCATTGCTATTTATACATAATGATCAAGTAGAATATAATAACACATGTTATTGCCCCTGAATTAATAATTAGCAGTAGCTTAATTCTGTTGTATTTTTATATAGTAACTTTTGGGAATTCTGTGTATAATTGCTTGTAACTTAAAACTAAGAAGCCAGTACTTTGGCCCAATGGTTTGAGCGACGAGCTGCAAATGATGACATTCCGTATGACCACTGTGGCATGTCTCACCTGCTCCACTTGTGTTCTGGCTCCCTGCTCCGTCAGTCTGGGGAAGTAGCAGAGGTTGGCCCAAGTGCTTGGGTCTCGCTGCTCAAGTGAGAGACCCCGGTGGAACTCCCGGCTTCAGCCTGCCCAGCCCTGTGTATTGTAGCCACTGAGGAGAGAGCCAGCAGGTGGAAGATCTGTTTCTGTCTCCCTCTCTTTCTGTAGTTGTGCTTTTCAAAGAGATAAACCTCACAGAAACATCAAGATTGGGCCATTTTTAGCAATGTAACGACGTACTGGCTTTATCATGTAACAGGTGGATTTTCAGCTGGCCTTGAAGGGTGAGTATACCGTTTTCTGTAATAGAGATGGACCAGAGGATTCCAGTGAAGGAGACTGACTTGAGCAAAGGTGGAGTATGCAAATTCTGAGCATTGTTAGATCAGTTTTTACTTTTTCAGAGAATTTATGTAGGAAGAATGGAACTAAGGAATTTGAAACTGAACTTTGGTGATTGCTACATATGCAAGTAAGATGTTTGAGTCAGAATTTTTATATGTCCTGTGAGTTGGATAGACATACTTCTTGGTTCCGGGACTCCGTAGGAAATTGTGCCAAGTATCCTGAAACATGTCCTGGCTCCTGCAAGTTGACGATGGTCACAGCCAGGTCCGCTTTCCACTCAGGGGGAGTGTCTTGCCGGCTCCCCACCGTCCCCGGCCTCAGGGGCTCTTGTCCGTGCATGATCATCCTTTCTTCCTGAATTATTCTTTTTAATCTCCAGATTTTAAGTCAGCAGCACAAGTGTCTGTTTATCACAAGAGTTATAAACTTTTGTTTAAAATTTCTGGTGTATCTGCTTCGCTCTGTGAAGATTGTAGGGCATGTATTTTGTTTGTAAGACGATGATCGCCTTTCCTGTTTATTTTCCTTTGCAGAGCTAGAGGATCAAGACATAATGGGAGCATTTTTAGACAAGCCAAAGATGGAAAAGCATAACGCCCAGGGGCAGGGCAACGGGCTGCGGTACGGGCTGAGCAGCATGCAAGGCTGGCGCGTGGAAATGGAGGATGCACACACGGCTGTGATCGGCTTGCCAAGTGGACTTGAAACGTGGTCCTTCTTTGCCGTATATGATGGGCATGCTGGTTCTCAGGTTGCCAAATACTGCTGTGAGCATTTGTTAGATCACATCACCAATAACCAGGATTTTAAAGGGTCTGCAGGAGCGCCCTCGGTGGAGAATGTAAAGAACGGAATCAGAACAGGTTTTCTGGAGATCGATGAACACATGAGAGTCATGTCAGAGAAGAAGCATGGTGCAGATAGAAGTGGGTCAACAGCTGTGGGTGTCTTAATTTCTCCCCAACATACATACTTCATTAACTGTGGAGACTCCAGAGGTTTACTTTGTAGGAACAGGAAAGTTCACTTCTTCACACAAGATCACAAGCCGAGTAATCCACTGGAAAAAGAACGAATTCAGAATGCAGGCGGCTCGGTGATGATCCAGCGCGTGAACGGCTCTCTGGCTGTATCGAGGGCGCTTGGGGATTTTGATTACAAGTGTGTCCATGGAAAAGGTCCCACGGAGCAGCTGGTCTCCCCAGAGCCCGAAGTCCATGATATTGAAAGGTCTGAGGAAGACGATCAGTTCATCATCCTTGCGTGTGATGGCATATGGGATGTCATGGGGAACGAAGAGCTCTGTGAGTTTGTGAGATCCAGACTTGAAGTTACTGATGACCTTGAGAAAGTTTGCAATGAAGTGGTCGACACCTGTTTGTATAAGGTAGCTAGACTTTTTTTTAAAAGCACCAAACGACTTTAGTGACATTAATTTAATCACCCTAGAACCTGTGGGTTCTCAAAAATAAGTCTTGGCACAGTTGCACACTACTGTTCACTTACTGTGAAAATATAGGAATGATTTTTAGAAATGAATTGACCATTTTAATATATGCAAGTTATCATCTGACTCTTTAGTCTTTTAGTAACCATGACTACTTAAAGCTTTAATAGTGGGAAGTTTATCAAAGGTAGAAAGATTATAACAAAGTGCTTGTTTTAAAAGAAGGGAGATGGGGAGAGTTAACACTCATATGAAAAAACGGTTTAGGATTTTAACATTTGTACCATCTGGTATCTCAGTGTATATGTGGAAATACTTTCTAACTTTAGCTTAATGAAGCACCACCAAAGGTAGTTATTGAATATTTGGTGTGATGTAATAAAAAAAATAGCCTTAAACATGGAGTCAAAAGAACTTGGGTGAGACTGTGTGACTCAGGTAAGCTGTTTAAATCCTCTGGAAAATCAGTTTAGTTCTCAAAAGGGTAAGACATGTTTCTACCCCGTGTTGTCAGCGACCGTTGAAAGGATTATATCAGATGGGACCACATGGGCACATGAAGCAGCTTAGCCCCTTTATTTTACAGGAGAGGAAGCTCTGTGGTTCAAAGAGTCAGACTCTACAGGGTTGCACAAATGGTTCCCACCGTTAGCTTTAACATGGAGATAATAACTGTTACGGATTCGTACATTAATGAACTAGTGTGTATATAAATTCATATATGTGTGTATACACACATTTTACATTTTTATGTATGTACATTGTCTAATTTAGCATAAGTCCTCCATATCTGCTGCTTTCTTTCCTAGATAAGATACAAGCAAACAGGATTATACGATTTGGTAGCAGGATCCAGACTAGAAAATCTAGACTTCTTACTTAGAGTTTAGTGTTCTTCATACCACACTCTGTTCTGTTTACGTGGTAATTATTGATCTTTTTTTTTTAAAAAAAAACTCACTGATTTTGTTAAGTTTCTCTTGAAGATCTGTGTTTGATTTAACATGAAGGAAATTAAAAGCATTCTGTAAGTTTCATATAAACACTATAAACTCAAAACCTTAATTGATACTTGATTTATGTAATATTCAACATGTATGTTAAAATCAGGAGATCGACAGCAGTTCATACTGTCAGTTTTTGAATTTTGGGAGAACTAAGCAAACTTTGTAGCTTTTACTTTTAACTCCACATTTTATTTTACTTTTAACTTCATATGAAACGAATGTGTTGTCCCCACAGTTTATTGTAAATTTTTAAAATGTAAACGTGTCAAAAAATCGTATAACTGCAAATCCTGCTATAGCTAAGTAACACTAGAATTTTCTGTCATGTTGTTTGGGATAAATGTGTGTGTACATACGTATTTGTGTTAGATATTGGTTCAAATTAGGACAACTGCCATTGATTGTGTAGAAAGAGCTTTGTTTTATAGAATTATAAAACATGATTATGATAGTGAGTTTTGACCCATAATGTTCCTCCTGTCCTTTGGAGAATTGATTACATGGTGTAATCTGTATACTCTGTGGGGGTTGGGCTTGCGCACATAGTATATACATGCAGACGAGCAGGCACATACATGTGTTTTTTCTTCACTAAAATATAACACTGAAACAAGTCTAACTTTAAATGGCATATCTAACTTTAAGAGGGAAAAAATAAAATCAAAATATTCTCTTGAACTTTTTTCTTCCCAGGGAAGTCGAGACAACATGAGTGTGATTTTGATCTGTTTTCCAAATGCACCCAAAGTGTCAGCAGAAGCGGTGAAGAAGGAGGCAGAGTTGGACAAGTACCTGGAATGCAGAGTAGAAGGTGGATCATTTAACAAAAAATAAGTAGCTTTATTAAAGAGAAATCTTCAGCACAAACCATTAACATCTTAGCTTTTAGTGTTGTGTGTACAGAAGTGGGAAGGCGTGTTTGTGTAGTAGCTGTTAGATCCGGGCTCTGTCCTGTCACAGCCAGGTTAGGAATAACAACTAACATGGCCTGTGCCCTCTCTCCAGGAGAGCTTGTTTGAAAAGGCTGAAATGTTCGTGGACTCTGATGCTTAATGAATGCACTGGCATGAGTGATTTTATGCCAGGAAACTTGGTTTGCGGTTTATTTAGTTACTAAGAGATTATTTTGATGGTGATCATTTGAATACCATCTTGATAACTTGAAGGTCATAGCCTTATTATTAATAACTTTTATGTGCTACAGCTTTGAAAAATTTGGTTTAAACTCTAGGCTTCTTGCTTAAGGCAGTAACTGTTTCAAACATTGATAGACTTAATAGAAGAATATAACTGCTGAATATGATCAAGAAAAGAGAAGGAAATTCGAGGAGTATATTTCTCACGATGCTACAGATTATTTTAAAAGCAGTTGTCTGTCCCAAGTGTAATGCCTCTAAATTTTTGAGAAAGCTTAAATGATTTTTGATGCAGCTGCTACTTGGTATAAACATTAAGACTCCTCAGAGAGTTTCCGTTTACTGTATATATACAACAAGCATATAGAGTATATAGTTCCTATAAGCCAAAAAGCTTCACTAGTGTTAAAATGCATTTTGGGCCCTTGCTGTTATTTGCATGTTAAAGATCTGATAGCATGCAAACACTGACCCACCACACTCCCGCTGTACCTGCATTGTTAAAATCAGTATGCACTTCGAGTTTATTTTCTCCCTTTTTATTGTTTGACACTAGTCATAATCAGTCTGATTGGTTTTTATTTTCAGTACTGTCTGAAGCTGCTATTTTATTTTTATTGCCCCGCCCCACTTGATAGTGATATGTCTAGTATGTGTCTGTAATATTTAGTACTTCATTCTTTGGATGTACTGTTCAGTGAGTTTGTTTTTCAATATTATCAAGGGTCTTGGAATTTTCATAATCTGATCATTTCAGTAAAAAAATATTTGCAGTAAAGTTTTAAACTCTAGATTGCTACAGAAAGTAGTTTGAAACCCTAAAAGGAATGTATAGAGACGAAGGTGGTAATGTGGTGACACTTGAACTTGGAATACCTGTGAGTTGCCACCTGGAGTTAATACTCAATATTTTTGGTATGTTGAAGTTTTATTATACTTGTATTATTCAGTTAGAGATTATTGTATCATACGTAAAATAAGGTATTTCTTACTTAGGTTTGATGAGACTGCACTAGAGAATAATATCACATTAATTAAAATCACATTTAAAAATGTAGGAAGAATGTAACTGTTTGCATTATAGAAGTTGCTGTATGTCATAGGTTAAAAAAAAATACTGTATTCAGCTTCCAAGACAGACACCAGAATCTTTTTTTCTCCTTCTTTGTGTAAATACATGCCTTCATTGAATGTTGGGACCCGTTAACCTCATTGCATTTGCTTTGAGCGTTTTTGGCTTCTCTGTCCATACCATATGAAAGGACAAAAGGCTTTGCAGCTCTTTCTCCATTTGTGCCCTTTCAAATACTTGGCTGTCTGTGGGTGTGAAAGATTCACCCCGTAATTTAAACCATACAGCTATTAGGTTTGTGGTCCCTCTAAACTAGTTGAAGATTATTCTTGTGCAGATTTTCTTAAACCTCTGCTGCTGAGTCTCTGAACGTTGGAGTTGCCGATTCTGACATGAGATGCCCACCCACGGGCCGGAGGGGGAGGGCAAGGCAGAGTGTGTTGGTACAAATGTATGTGAAACATGAATATTCTATACATATCTATTCTTTATAAAAGCTTTCAGTCTTTTTACAGTTTTAATTAAAATGTATAATCCAAGCGCAATTAAAGGAATATTTCTTCGAAGTGATTTCTTTTTAAAGCATAAGAAAGCAAGACCAGCATAGTATTAATGTTCAGGTGGTTTAAGTGGATTAGCCCGTATGAAGTAGGGAATTTTGTTTTTAAAGCTTTACATTATTTTTTTTAATTGTTTTCTTGTAATTTTATCACAGTTAAAATATATCCTAATTTATATTTTAACAAAGAAGATGTAAGATACATCAAATCTAGATGATTCAAGGTAATGTTTTTTTAGATTTGAAACCATCATCGATTAAAATTACCACCAGTGTTCATGTCTATTGTGTGTAGTTTCCTATCCAGGTAACTGTGTTGGCTTAGCAAGAGACTGTATGTTAAGTGTATTGCAGTTTTAAATTGTGAAATTGTGCAGTTTAGGTAAACATCAAATCCCTTTATTTTTGTACAGAGATTTCCAGCACTAGAACCATGTAGAATAAATATGCTACACAATAAAAGAACTTGGCAAACCAAATCTGAGATCCTTGCTTTTTGTTCAGATTTAAGACTGTTAAAAAAAAAAAAAAAAAGGCAAGAACTGCTAGTACATGGTGAAATTGGCCTTTGTTCTTAAAGAGAATTTAAGCCTTTATTGATATTAATATTATGGGTAGCAGTGTCTGTCTCTTAATAATGTGTTTTTTCATATGATGAGTTAACATTTTGAGGGTTGATCCAAGGATGAAAGACCTTCATGCATTGTTATTTTCAAAGGTGTTTACAAATTAAGAACTAGAATGATAATTTCTTGCCCCAACAATGACAAAATGCCATTTCTTAATGAAACAAAACTTGAACATGTAACATAACAAATAACTTTGACTTGAATTTGCTAAAACCATGTGAAGAATTTTTGTACTTGGAAGTGAATAGCTTTAGAGTTCTTTGTAAAGTTCTTTGTTAATAGTATTTGATATTCTGTGATAGGAATAAAAAAATCGTGGCAACACTACAGAGTATTGCTACACCCACTTGATAGCTTTTTTTTTTTTCAATGTTAATTCTAGATGCAGTTGTATGAGTATCAGATCTTCCTCTTTTTAAAACTTCTGTTAAATATACAGACTTTTTATTTTAAGGCTTGTCTCGAGTAATCAAAGGAATTGTTATTATTTCTCTACATATTGTCTAAAGATCCTTTAGAGAAAAATTAAGCTTTGAGTGGTGTTCTGATGTATAAACTAATTTGTGCATGTTATTTAAGTATCATTTTGCAAATATAAATGTGAAACAATTTGTGTTAGTATATAGTCAGCAAATTTCCTTATTTAGAAGTTATTTTTTCCAAATCTGGAAGTTATTTCCTTTTTTTTTTTTTTTTTTTGCCCCTTTCTCTCTGTATTTTTTTTTTTTTTCTGGTTAATCTGTGCGATGTATTTTACAGGGAAAATTTCAGAGAACTTGTTTCCAGTCTGGAGAATGAATATATCTCCTCAACAGTAACTAGTTGATATCCTAAGAAAGAATGTTCTCGTGTTTGCATATGTGTCCTGATTATGTAATGCATCAATTTCAACATGATAGATTTTTCTTTTAACATTTTAATCTTATTTTCATTCTTTGAAATTTATCTTTTGTGTCTTTTTCTGCTGCTCTTTGTCATAAATTTTCAAAGCTCAACTTGTTTTGTTTTCTTTTAAACGATGCCAGTTTAGAAATTCTCAGATATGGTAACTGTCATCTTTAAAAACCTAAGTTATCTTTGTTTCAGTTTTTAAAAATTAAATTTGGATAACACTTACAAAAACAGTACTTCTGATCCCCAGAAATCATAAAGAAGCAGGGGGAAGGCGTGCCTGACTTAGTCCACGTGATGCGCACGTTAGCCAGCGAGAGCATCCCCAGCCTCCCTCCCGGGGGCGACCTGGCTAGCAAGTAAGTGACCTCTGCGCCCGCTCCCCGCTTGCTGTCAGTGTGTGCAGGTGTTGGGTGTCCGTTGATCAAATGTGCTTTTCCCTGATTCCTAAAGCAATGCAGTTGTCCGTAGTACAGTATCTAAGCTGTGACTTCGTGTTTTTTGGTATTGGGATGTGATCCTTATGTAGATAGCACAATACCTCTCTCCAGGGAGCTGCACTGAGGGCTGTTTTGGAGAAGCTTGGGTGACTTTGATTTCCTCATGCAGCATGAATGAGATAATCAAGTGAAAGAATTTTTTAAATGTGCAGCGCTACCAAATTCTCAGTGAGTGTTAGTATTTAGTTGGGTGATTTTGTCAATCTGGACGAAATGACACGGCAGAGTTGGTCTTGATGCGTCTGAGCGCATTTCTGTGTCTGATGTTGCTAGTGTCTGGTTACTGGTTGCTATTGTCGTTGAGTGAAGGAAAGAATGAATGCATTTCTAGCCCTTTTCCATTCTACGTTAGTTCATGGAACAACCAATTTGTGTAAAGTATTAAAATGACATTCTTACACGTAGTACACCGGAAAAATTCAAGCTACTTTAACGTTTTCACTTCAGGTATACTTGTAGTTGACTTACAAGGTGTGTTACTAATTTCCTTCATTCTCTGCTGTCTTGTGAACAGGTCGTAATCATACAGTGTTCTGGGTAAAGCTGGCTAATAAATTGCTTCAAAGCGGCTGTGGAAATATTAAAATGAGACCACAAGTTTTTAAATAAAATAATATTCAAAAACAGGGATTTATCTTGGAAATTTGATATTCCTTTTTGAAAGGCAGATTTACAAAAAGGAATAACAGAAATATCTTCCATCCACTGGTTCACTCCCCAAGTGGCTGCAACAGGCAGAGCTGAGCTGATGCAAAGCCAGGAGCACGTTCCGGGTCTCCCATGTGGGTGCAGGGTCCCAAGGCTTTGGGCCGTCCTCTGCTTCCTTTCCAGGCCACAGGCAGGGAGCTGGATGGGAAGTGGCGCAGCCGTGACAGGAGCCAGCACCCATTGGAATGCAGGCACTTGAAGCAGGAAAATTAGCCAGTTGAGTCAAAATGCTGGCCTTGATATTTTTGTTTTAAAACTGCTCTGTTAAAGGGGCATTTTGAAAGATAAAAACTTAAAAATATGTTGTTTTGTTTTACTACATTAGATGTTAAAGTTATTTCTTTTTCAAGACTAAGATGCCTTCTAACTAACAGTATGTGTTTAGTAATACTTTTTAAGAAGGTATCCTTGTCAGTCTGGCTGCCTGGGACCAGCTCAGTAGCCTAGTAGCCAAAGTCCTTGCCTTGAATGCACGGGATCCCATATGGGCACCGGTTCTAATCCCAGTAGCCCCGCTTCCCCTCCAGCTCCCTGCCTCTGGCCTGGGAAACCAGTTGAAGACGGCCCAAAGCCTTGGAACCCTGCACCCTTGTGGAAGACCTGGAGGAAACTCCTGACTCCTGGCTTCGGATTGGTTCAGCTTCAGCCATTGCGACCCCTTGGGGAGTGAACCATCGGATGGAAGATCTTCCTCTCTGTCTTCTCTGTATATATGCCTTTCCAAGAAAAAAAAAAAAGACTGCCAGTGCTGACTCAACCCCTTAAGCCCAGTTCTGATCTGAGTAGACCACATTGACTGGTTTCTTTATAAAACCTGTTTTTTTGGTGTTAGGTTAACTGAGTTGATGGAATGTTAGATTGCAGTGTGACCTCTACCTCCACAGTGGCACCCACATGTCCTGAAGTGAGGCTCACTTTACTGAAAGCGAGAAATGGAACTTAAATAATTTCTAAAATTGCTTTCGAAAATCTACTGAACACCTAACTGTAAGAAAACGTGATCATACTTTCCAAAGAATTAATTTTCCACATTTTCTTTAAAATTTAGGCGGAATGTAATTGAAGCCGTTTACAATAGACTGAATCCTTACAAAAATGATGACACTGTAAGTAACCTTTTAGTTTCCTCTGCTCCCCTTCCCCTTCACTCTAAATGCATATCCTTCCTACCTGTTTTTGCAGAGCTGTCCACTGCACCCACTCTCTCACACACACCCTGACTGCTCTCATCTCTGCCTGCACCACAGTTGTAGTGATTGAGGACAGAATCACGGTGAGTGGCCACCTCTCTCAAAGCAGAAGAAAGTCCCTTTGAGTTATTCTGTTTTTTTTTAAAGCCTCCTCAAGCATTCCACTTCAGAAGGTTTGCCTCCACTCAATGAACTTTTTTATTGTCGTGGGAATACTATCTCTATGAGAAGCTGGATCTGTTCTAGGTTTTGCAAGCCACTACAACAGAGATACCAAATGTCCATCTCCACTGAGTATTTTCTATGGTTGGAAATATTTTTGTCAAAAATCCTGAGTTATATGTATATTTCTTTTAAATGTTAGAATGAGGAACACTTTATATTATATTAGAATGCTCTGTTCTCCAAGTAAGTTTTTTATTGCTGATCATTTGTTGTTGGGTGATGTTTATAAAGAAGTGGTCATTTCAAATCATTTGGGCACAGTTCTCAAATATTTTATGTGTTGCATTTGAAACTACCAAAACTTGTCTTACTTAAGGCTAATCTCTGCAAATACATTGAAAGTTTACAAGAGTTGTATTCTAAAAGACTGAATTTATCGGAAGTAGTATTCTTTGTGTATTCTTTTATAGCACTGCTGACTTAATGATTTATTTGGTCAATCTCACTGTAAACTCATTCTAGTTATTTTCCAAAAAGCAAAACAAAGGGTTAACAATTCTTGTCAGTTATTGATAACACATACATGCATATTTGCATACTGCAAAAAATTTGCACTTTAAATGCCGACTTTATAAAACCTTTAATTCTGCATATCCAGAAAGTAGTATAAAGCACCTCTAAGCTTTAATTTAGTTTCTTGTTTGTTTGTTTTCCTTATCAAGGACTCTACATCAACTGATGATATGTGGTAAAACTGCTCATCTAGCCATGGAGTTTACCTGCACCTCCAAAGGAGAGTACGGCTTGAACCTTTTAACATCCATCCTCAGCATTAAGGAAGGGATATGACGTGGTGAGAGAGATTACATCAGAGAACTTCAGCAGTACAACAGCTAGCCCAGAACTGATTTTTTTTTTTTTTGTGAATTTGAAACTTATGTAAAAGTGATTTCAAACCATAATTCATGTTGTAAATCAGACTCCAGCAATTTTTGTTGTATGATTTTGGTGTTTTTTTTTTTGTAAAGTATAATTGTCTATGTACAAAATACTCATATTTAATTATGAACTGCTTTAAATCACTATCAAAGTTATAAGAAACGTTTGGCTTGTTGTGTGAAGCAACAGATATATAACCCTTTCAGGTCATGTTACGTTTGGACTTGGGGTTGGGACAGGGAGAGCAGCAGCCACATCAGCCTAGGTGCTCAAATGTGCACATGATTATGGAGAATAATGACAAAGCTAAACATCCACGGAGTTACTGAAAACCACCTTCATGTTCCTGGCAGCAGGACTGGCGCTCCTGGTGAAGCCGTTGCCCTGTTTTAGCTGTCTGTCTGAATGTGCTCTCCTTGCTGCCGTGAGTACTACAGGCATACAGTATATTCCTAAGGACATCAATCTGGAGGCTGAGATGCCTTGATTCTTTGCACCTCTTTTCCAAGCCCTTACATTTAATTACTAATTGATGAGCAGCAGCTTCCTACATACTGTAGGAGACTGCCATGTTTTTTGCTATCATGATTGGCTGGGCCTGCTGCTGTCCTAGTAAGATACTCTGAATTCCATTTTATCAATAAAGCTTGATTTAACAAACAAGAAGTTTAATCATGTATGTGTAATTCCTCTTTTACCTCTGCCTATTAAAATACCCAGTGCCATTGTCAATGAGGTTTTCCTGTAGGAACAGAAATTAGTCTCTCCCAGTTGGACAGTGCTGTTATTCAAGGCATAGGTGGAACTGTTTTTCTTCTAATTAGAAAGACTAGAAGATTTAAGTTGCTATTGTTCCTTAATCTGTTTTTTAACTAGGTTTCTTTTGGTCCGCTTATTTTTCATTAAGATGTACATCAGCTTAAATTTGCCTACTGTCTAATTAAAACAATTGTCAAGGTTCAACATGGTCACCCTGTGTGGTAGGTGTGTGCCTGCGTGTGTGTGTCTGTGATTTTTAATTGGCCCATGTCGTTAGAATCTAAGTGGTTGCGATATATTTGTGATTTGAAATATAGCATGTTGATAAAATTTAGTTGTTGGCCTTTAAAAATAACTTTCAAAACTTAAGGAATTGTAGATATAAAATAGCCAAATTTAATTTTAGTTTTAATCATTCTGGTTGAGCATATGTGAAAGTGAGTTTAAAAATCTGTCCCATTGAAAAGATTGTGTGCCCTTATGTGTTTTTGTCTCTTTAGGGTCAGTATTGTATTTACCACCATGTAATTTACTCATTCAGTAGGCAGATTCCCCTCTAGAAAACTAATAAAATGTAAGAGTAAAATATAACTTTGGATACAAAATCGAAAAATCTTTGTGTATAAAAGCTAGCATAATCCATTTTGTTACATTTGTTTTTTCCCTAACTTGGAGATATACATATTTGTATATATAGCCTTAAAACTAATGTAAAGTTAGGGGAGTAGTGGGAAAAGTAATGTGAAATGTCTGATTTAAGTAGTTTCATACCAGCAAAATCTTTTCATTATCACTCTTATTTGAGGGGTGATTACATGTAAATTAATTGTGTTTAATTTATGTCTTAGTCAAGCATGAATGAAGAAAAACTGAAGTACTATTTATATTTAGAAATTCGTAACAGTTGGAATTACAAAACTAATTCCATACATAAAATAAATGCTTAATGCCAAACACTGTAGTAGAATGCAAAGTATGATGTTTCCATTCTGGCTTGGTAAGCATCTAAGTGGACATTTCCTGAACACCGGTGCTTCTATTGTAGATGATTACCAGACATACTAGTACAGTGAGAAGCCAGACCCTTCATTTTTAAAGTAACCCGGAGTTTTAGTCCCATAAATTTTACCATCTTAAACCGGCTGGGGGCTCTTGAAATGAAAAGTGGTCACAAGTGACAACTGTGACAGAAAGCTGTGTTTCAGACCATGGTAGTATATTTAGAGGTTTCTCCTTATTTGAGAGTCCTTAAACAACAAAGATACCGAAGTATTCCTCTGTTAAAATTGCTAGCACTAAAATTAAGCTTGGAAATGAGAGCAGACCACATTCAAGTGTGATGCAAGAAGACTCCTGTCCACATGAGTCAGCACTGCCATATTAGGTAAGAATGTTTTCTTCTTAAAAATATAGGAAGGAGGTAACTACATTCTAGCAACAGCCCACGTGTGTTCCTGGTTCCTGGAGGTGGTGGTCATGATGGCAGACCAGCCACACTTCTAAAAGGCATTTTGCACCTCTGTTGTACATTGCGGGTTTTACCACTTAAGTTCTTGATCCCACTTCGTTTATGCTGACTAGCGTCTCAGGAAAATGCCTCGATTTTTTTTTTAATGAGCTGTATGTTCTTTTCTTTGGAGGAAAAGTTCTTGTATGATGGTAATATTCAAAATATACTGTCATTTAAATAGCTTATTAGGGTGGTCCCAATTTGCTTATCTTAATAGATTTAATTTTGCATAGTAGGTACTTGCCACCCCAACAATTACACTGATGTGTTATTAGTTTAAAAGGGGAAGCCCTCCTGATTTCCAGCAGCAGCGCAGCGCTCAGTGTTCACCTGAGCAAAGCAAGGCGGGACTGTCCTTATTCCGCTTTTGAATTGTCTCAAGCTTGTTCAGTAACAGTCATTAACTTCTCGAGGGCTGCACAGTTGCTACAGCTACTGAAGTTTTTATATTAACATTAAGAAATGTTAGGAATGCAAAGAGTAAGAAATACATTAATTGTGTAATTCATATACTCTGAATTACAGCAGTACTTTTAGTGACCATTCAGTTGATCATAGATTAATCCAGCTAATGATTGTTTTTAGTGTTATCTGCAAGGCACTGTTCTAGGCTGACTACCTTGGGACTATAAGGAGATGAATAGAGCTTTGCCTTCAAGGAATTTGCATTTGGTAAAAATTCGAAGTTTTAATCAATGTTACTATTGTAACTGGATCACTGATTTAGGAAAAAAAAAATTTCCCACCTACTGTTTACTGGGAATTTTCCAGAACAGGGCATTTCACTGCCAAAAGAGCTCAATTGTTCTTCCTCTGTTCACCTGAAAATGCTTTTCTTCTGTCTTCTCTCTCTCCCCAAATTTGAAAATCACATTCAAAAGAGAATTTTGCTTGGCATAAGAATAAAATTGAATTGATGATGCAAGGCTTAAGTTCCTTCCGTGTGCTTGATTATCCATAATGAATAGTCTTTCCTTTTTCTGCTGATAGCATCAAGTCAGTGAAATAATGTATTTATTAGAATGCGCCAACCCTCAATAAGTGGTACTGAAGTTTAAAGTGTTAAAAATATATGTCTGTGTGTCTGTATGTGTGTAGCTAAGTTGAAGTTCAGTAAAGCTTGCTTATAACATTGCCAGTGTTAATATTCCGTTTTAGTCAAATGATGACTGAGTTTTAATAACTGAAGAAGATTTGCTCATCTTTACTGGACAAATTCAAATGGAAATTGTGCTTGTGATTCCTGAAAGAACTGATGAAATTGAGTACTGCCATGTTTGGTTTTGTGTTTTGAACTTCAGGATACATACTTCAGTTAACTTTGCTCATTTTACAGTATTGTGTTAGGATTTGGTTATCACAAAAGATAGACAAGTGTTTCAGCACATGAGTGGTTCTCATTCGAGGCTTTCCTTTGAAAGGAGCCTTGAGTTTTGCATATTTTTGCTTCCCAATACTGTTATGAACAGTTTTTGAGTGACGTAGTCTTCTAGTTTTTTCAACACTAGGAAATCTTTAAAGTTTTAGATACCTAATTTTATTTCTTCAATAACGTGCTATGTGTTTTGGTTTATTTTTAATGCTTGAAATACTAAATACATCTGCTAATTATGTAATATTGTACTGTTTTGATGAAAATAGTGTCTTCCCTGAAGGTTTAGTTATTACAGATAACAGTGCTTTTCAGAAGTAGCAAGATAGGCTCCACTTCCTGTCAGATGGCTGCTTTTCACTTTGTTCACCTGTACACAGATTGTCTTACTGGTTAAATGTACTAAGTTAGTGGCCTCTATGCTAGCATCGCCTTATGTGACTTGCAGGTGGGAATGCTAATTAGAAAAACTCAACTCATACTGTTATGACATGGGGGAAGGGTCGTTTAAGTGATGTAATCATGTGATTCTTTTTTCTTTGTATGAAATGTTGTCCCTCTTTCTACACTTCCTTTCTCTTGATCAAGAAAGCCTTAGGGAACAGCCTGTCAATGTGCATGGATGGTCGGTTCAAATAAAAAGTAAAATCCTGGGGCGGAGGGTGGCAGAACGCCGGTGAGAGGCTGTTGAGGATAAAAGCCGAGCAAAGCTTGCGTGGAGTTGGCCAGAGATTTTAGTGAACTGATCTGTAACATGAACTGGCAAGATTCAGCCTTCACCACTCAAACAGTTTGATGTTTCCAGGAAGATAATGATCAAAGTTATTAATTATTCAACTTAAGCAACTGAAAAAATCAGCCTTTCAGTTTTCTACTAGTTTTCTACTTTGTGTTTGAAGTCAGCAAGTTGCCTGGAAAGCTGTTGGTTAGCTACTGAGTTAGAAATACCCTGATGAGGGACAGTGAGTGGCACAAGTTTCACGTTAGCAATGGATAACCTTTTCGGGTCACGGGTCCTTTGGGGCTGATGAAGCCTGGGGCGGCTCCAGCCCAGACACATCGTGCCCGAAGGTTTACGATACAGCAGTGTCTCCCGGCTCCTCCAGTTGGAGCCTGCACTTCAGCGGAGCAGGCTGTCCTTCCGCAACAGAACCTGTAAAATAGTTTAAGGGCATAAAAATAACTGCAGTCTATTTTAAGGAATTGTCTCATTTAAAATATAACAACAAAGGGAGAGGGAATCCTGGTTAGATCCTGGTATGAAATTATGCTTTTGTTTATTTTTAAAGATTGTACTGAGTTGTGCTAGGGGAAAATAACGCTGCAGGTAAAAAAAACAGTGTTTGAACTAACTTGAGGTAATGATTGTTTTCTGTGAGATTTACCCCCTTGGAAACTCAGATACTTGGTGAAATGAAATTTGAATGTGTCTTGGGTGTTTCCAACCTTCAAGGAATAGACACATACTAGCTAGCAATATAGTAAGTAAACAGTCAGGTCCCAGGATTAAAGATTTAAACTTCCTGGTACTAGAAGTCATTAAAAGTTAAATTTCATTTCAGACTGCAAGGAACTGGGTGTGAATAGAGACTGTTAAGATAGTCTAACATGGCCAGCCACCAGCATATAGGGTGCATGAGATTGCTGGTACAAAGAAAAGTTGCAAACTTCTATTTGCTACCCAAGCCTAGTATTCAGGTAAGGTGTGTTGGATTTCCATTGTGGGGCCTTTGAAGGCAGGAACGGGCCTCCTGAGGTTAGCTCTGGTGCTGCTCACCGCTCACCCACTTGTCTGTAGCATGCTATCTTGTTTCAGTGTAATGCCCCCAGCAGTTTCACTTTTGAGCTTTCACTTCACTTGAGCCTGTTCAAAAGCATATTGTGTAGAGGTTCGTCGTCTCTAAGTATGGAAGTCTAAGACTAGTACAGTTGCAGGTTTTTTTTTCCTCAACAGTAACACAGTTCTTCACAGTGATTCATCTACTTTGCAGTGTATGTTATTTAAATTGAAAGAA